TTCAACAAAAACATTTATTGTTTTAAAAAAAAATCTTTCATGACATCCTAAACAGGGGCTGCTAAATTTGCAAATCTTTCCTGTACATATTCAGTATTCAGTCACAGTTGAAGACTCTGAATTTTCTTCAATGGGGTCAAAATACTGTACAATCCATTAGCTTACTTTAAGAACGTGCAATATAATCTACTAGGGCAAACTTGATTATAAGCATGGTCTCCAACCTAACAAGCAGATTTATGTGCTTATTTCATATATATGATAAGAATTTGTGAAATTATTTGTATTTCGTCATTATTATGTCTCTATTGCTACAGTACTAGGAACACACTAGGAAAATTTTTCTTAATACCAACCAAAGGCAAGTGGTCAGACTGCTTGCTTAATTTAATCAACTAGCAAGAAGAAAAATGTTCAGGGAATTCAGTCACCTCCAAACTATAGAAGTCCCTGTGATATCAAAGAAAGGACCCTTTTCTTCATTCTGATGTTCTGATTAGGGACATGGAGCAATAGGATGTCCCGTCTTCAAGCACTAGGATTTACTATAATCCTCCCTTTCTTCATGTGAAGGAAAAGGTCAGCCAGTTACCTAAGGACCTTTGTGCACCTCCCTCTCATTATTTTGGTTTGTGCAACAGCAGGGATGTAAATCCCTAAGAAACAAGTGAGCAACGAGGATGGTTGGGAAGAATGGGAAGGAGGGGCAGCACGGTACCAAAATGTCTCCACATGGCTCTCGAAAGGATTTAGCTACTGTGACTTAATTGAAGCTACTGCACCAGAACTACTCTTTGCTGCCAGGGCTGGATGAGTATGAGATGCCTTGGCTGGTATCTCTCATCAGGCCTTGCCTGGGAAGGTTGTTCATTCTGTTCTTTACTGCTCCATAAGGCAGAGCTCCCCAGTCACAAGGGCATGCTTTCCTCCTCTGCTGTTTACTGATCTTCAGAGAGTGCTTTTCCCTTGAATGCCAAATTTCATACTTTCCCCATCACAGTCAGCAAAATGAAAAGGAATCTGAGATAAAAATCCAAAGTTAACTTATACTCAGGCATTTATGGTGCTAAACATTTCCCAGTACAGAACTCCCCACACTGGAGCAAGCCAGAGTTACTGTACAAAGAGCCTGCACGCAGACTTCAGAGGAAAACAGTTTCATTCATGTTAGATAGATGCAAGAGATGGTAAAATAAAACACTCCTACAACCCAGACGGATCCCTTCTGTCTATGGATGATTTATGAGCCAAGAGAGGGTGACACACAAGGTTCACATAAATGATTTTTCAAGTATTAAGCACAGAACACCTCATGCTAGACTTATTGCAGCCGACGAATTAGAAATTTTCCCAGAGACAAAGCAACAGGCCATTTCTACAAGCGAATAAAAATGCCCACCAATTTCAGAGAGGCTTTACTGGCGTAGATTTTCTTCCATGAAGACTTGATCCATGTGCAAAAACTGGCTTTAATCGCTAAGCAAATTAGCAGAACATGCATATATGCTCTGCATGTCCAGCACCTCCATGCTCTGAACACAGCAGTCTTACAGACTAGCAGTGTATGCAATAGCTGTAATCACACTGGGGAAATCCTCCTCACTCTAATCTGTTTTGGGACCTTCAATCAGTCATCAGCATTTTTAGTTTTGCTAATCTATAAGAACTAGTGTATGATATTAACCATTCAGTGTTGTGTGGTTTAATTAGCAATACCGTTGCAAAGGCACCCCTTGCCAGCAGCTTCTACGCAGAATTTGGGGAGACAGTATTTCTTTCTTTTTATCCAGAACACCTGTGGTGTCTGTGCAAGATATTATTAAACAACAATTTTTTAAACATCTCTCTGCAAAAAAAAAAAAATCTATTTAATAAACAATAAGATATGAAATGAAACACTCCTATGTTTAAGCAATGTGAATGTGAGAAATATAACAGAATTACAGAAAATGCATCTGAAGTTCAGGGACGGACCAGCTATATCTCTAATCTAATAGTTATTTTTAAGACCTGAAGGGGTGGAGGCTTCACTGACTCAATCAATTTATATCAATACATTTTTAATGGTCCACTTGAATTCCTTGCTATAATTTTGCTTCACAGATTTTTGACTAATCTGCAGTGAATTTGAAGAAGAGACTATTCCCTTCCTTTTTGGCAGCTGCCTTTTTGCCTGTTCAAGATTGCAATCATATTTTCCTGCAGCCCACTTTTTGCTAGATTACACAACTTTAGTCAGTCAGTCTTTTCTGCTGTCTGTCTGTCTGTCATCTGCCATTGTATATTGCCATACATTGGTGTGTGTCCTTCTTGAAAGAGGCTGCCCAAAAAGGGCCACAGTTCAGCAGTGGGCTACAGTGGATGGCTTAGAGGGCCACTGCCCTGGTGTCGATCCCGTGGTGGTGTTGGTCATTTCTATGGTATCACAACATTATTAATTCAATTAATGTTCCAGTTATAAGATACTTTACCTTATTTTACTTTACCTGCTGCTGTTGCTGCTGATGAGGTCTTACTCAACTCAAGCTGACTACAGCTGCCTCAATGTAGACCCCAACACTCGTCCTCTGTCAAACTGCGTCCTGATTTTTCCAGTACACCTTTCTACTACATCAACATCATTCTGAATTTCAATCCTAGCTGTTATGACAGTCTTTATCAGTGTGGTCATCCCATTTATAACCACAGAACATTTCACTTGCAAGCTCATGCAGCCTTGGAGAGGCTGCAGTGATTTCACTGTTATTATACCTCCTTAATCCCGAACAATGAGATATTTTTCGTTCTCTCTTACTGGGAGCCATTACGAACAGATGGAATAGAAACCCTAGCTTTATTCTTTTGTCTATATCCTCTCAAAAATATCATTTTTTTATTCAGCTTTTGTACCTTATAGTTCTTTTTTGCAGGCTGGTTGAATAGTACATTTCCATAGAGCCTAAAACCACTAAAATGTTAAGCAATGGTCTTTTTTTAAAAAAGAAAAGAATGTTTTTTAAACAGATTGTATGTGCTGTCCCTAGGGTGTGGAACCCCCCCACCACAGCCTCTGTCTCTCCAGAGGTACTCCTTCTGTGGGAATTGTAAGACCTCAATGTCAGAGCCTGGTTCTGTTTTAACCTTTATCAGTATAATATAGGAATACAGGATTTCTTTCAAGAAAATGCTCTCTTCAGAGCACTTCAGAGCATATCAGAGAAAATCAGAGCTAAACTTCTCCCTACATTTTTTTTTTCACATGCAAAAGATCTTTTTTTTTTTTTTAAATGGAAACAAAGAAAACCTTGATGAGAGTCCTCCAATCTCAAGGACAAATATGATGTAAAAATCTTACATGTTTCTCTTTAGTTGCCTTCCCAAAGATGGGAACTGGGTGAGCCCATCTGGGTTATTGGCTCCCCAATGCAGCAAGTGCTTCACAGGTCACACCAAGAGCCCCTTTCCTCCCACCTGCTCAGGGCAGCTCCTCGCTGGTGAAGGTCTCTTCCCAAGGGCCAGCAGGCACGGAGCACAGACCACGCTGCAGCCCTCATCTCACCCCTCCTGTTTTCCCTCCAGCCCCCTCCGTGTGGGATTGGTGGCAGGAACACGGAGATCCCAAACAAGTGACTTGGCACATCCGGCATCTCAGCCCTGTTGCTAGGATGTGAAGCCAGGCGACTCATGCCGTTGAGGCACAGGAAAGCTGTAAGGAGGCAGAGCCGGAGACTCGTGGTCCTTCCAGAGGAACCTGGTGTAACCTGTCTCCTCATACAACATCATCAAAAGCAGGAGTCTGCCAAAAACAGGGAGCCGGAGCAGCCTTTGGGAGAGGAAATGCATGTAGACCCTGACGGGGTAAAGACGGCTTTACCTTCATAACTAGTAGTTCTGCTGAGACATGTGTGTATTTTTTCACTCATGGACTGAACAAAATAATAGTAATGTACATGTTATTGCTGGTACATCAGGATTTTTTTTTTCATTCTGACCTCCCCTACATTATGCTCTTCAAACAAAACTGCTTCAAGCGTAATTGCTATGAATTATCCAGTTGTCTTTGCAGAAGAGCAGCTATCTGACTTCCTCTGTGCCATGACATGTAGTTTCACACAGGACAGCTTTTCTAAGCGAGAAGTCTGCAGAAATGTAGAAATGCCAAGGTCAACCCGTCCGTGCTCCCTGCCTTTCAGGCTCAGCATCAGAGCTGTCCAGCTGATGAGGACAAAACAGGGACTTTGCAGTCCTGCACGGCCAGGAGAAGCCTACAGAGTAGCCAGTGAAAAAATATCTATCATCTTGTGCGTAAAGATGAACAAGTGGCTTTTAGCAGGCCAGGGAGGGATAAGATTCATGTGCTCATACCACAGAAGCAAACACACGTGTGTACATCCCTAATCTTGCTTCCAGTGAACCCAGATACTTTGAAAACACGAGCAACTTTCCTACTTCTTCTCATCGCGTGCACTGCCACTAGGGGCCGTTTGGTCATCACGTATTGCTCGCCTCCAGTTTTGCTTTTCCTTGCAGTTGGTCGCGCTTGCTTTGAGATCTTGGTCACATCTAGATCATGGAGTTGCTGTCAAAACTGCCTTCCATATCCACTGCGGTGGTTATTTCCCCAAATTTATCTGAAGGAGCCAAGCTGTCAGTGCTCCTTACAAAATGAGGCAGCTGGTTATTTCACAGTTTGCTGGAGCAACACAAGAAAGCTGAAGACTGCCTCTCATTTTAGTGCTAAGTGCCGAACACAGATGCTTCTAGTGGTTTTGTGAAAATAGAAGCGATGTGCAGACATTGCAAATAAAACTGGAACAAATATCAACATCTGCAGTGCATGCGAATGTTTTCTGAAAGGAAATACGTGCAATGAATACCTTTCGGACCAAATAATTAAAAACAATTAGCAAAACTCACATTTAACTCTTTTTTTCCCAAGGCTCACTTACTGGTTTAACCCAAGTTACTATCCACTGACCTACCTATATGCTTTTTTTTTTTTTCTCTTTTCTCCAATGCAGACTGAGCAGCTGGTGACCCTTTGGACTCTCTTTATCGTCACAATTGCTGGAAATGCCATCGTGCTGTTCTCCACCTGGAAGAGGAAGCGGAAATCTCGAATGACCTTCTTTGTCACACAGTTGGCAATCACAGGTAGTGTGTGGGAGGGAAAGGGGTTTCTGAACTGCACATTGCTCATATCAAAATGACAGAAAGTGTTTTCATAAATGAGAAGATTCAAGGTGAACAGTGGAAAATTCGGTTGCCACCTAATGTCTTTATCTTGTCTGCGGTTTGTCACAAGACAGATCAATGACTGCTTATCTTAGGGCTGTCTGCCTCTGATCTGAAAAGATGTTACTGTATATAATATCTGTGTCAAACAGCAGCTGCAACTCACTAATTTCATTGAATCTTATCTTCCAGCCTCAATTTACATCCATATTTTCAACCAGTTATGTCCCCAGCTGTTGTCACAAAACTTCTTAAATTACCTCATAACAGTGTTGCTACATCAATTTATATACATGCATTGTAAGGAGAAAATAACTTCCTGTCATCTGGTTTGGCCAAGTAATGTAGATACAAAAATATGAATCTTGAGACGAATGCATTTTGGATTTTTCTTTGAATGAGAAAGGGAAGTTGATACAAGAACATTGTCATTTTATATGCACAGGATATACAGAATATCTTGAAATATACAGAAACATGGTTTGTAAAAGGACAGTCTCAACAACCAAGAATAGAATCGGAAACAGAAAAAGCACTTTGTTTCTCTCTGGCCTGAATTTGTGCAGTTTTAGTAGTTTCCCAGAGGAAAACATCCGCTACGTCTATAACAAAGTCCTGCTACTAATCCCAGCTTATGAAAAAGCTATGCAGTATCATTAGTGTATGTTGTCTGTTGCTTTTATTCATGAGATACCGGAGGAATTATAACACAATTCTGCTAAAGAGAGTGTTTTCTCAGCAATTTTGAGTCTTCCTTTGATGTCTGCTGTTGGTCTGTTTACCCTGAAAAAGTGAAAGACTAGACTCCTCAGTTTTCGACATATATGTGCCCTTGGTGAGTGAACTCCTGCTCACAGTCTCTACTGTACTTGCCCAAGAGTTCATCCAATTTCAAATACTACCCTGCAATTAAGAACAGATATACTAGCATGTGCAAAATGATGGAAAGGGCCTGGCCCAAACTACCAATAGCTGATTTAAGAGTTTTTGCAAGATGAAGAAGCAAACATTTGATGTGACTCCTCCTCTGAAATGCTGACAGATTTCCCTCTGGGTCACCCCTACCTGAAGTTCTCACTCCTTATCTCTGTGGACTTTCTTGTCCCTTTCTCTGAAAATATAGTTAAGACAAGTCAATATGGTCTCACAGTTCAGTTTAGAAATGTCTGTCAGAGACCAAGAATTACTGCACTCACATCAGTTCCAAATCGCCCAATCCCTGCCCAAAGCATGCCCACTCTAGGATGAATATGGGAGAAATGGCAAAATTAGACAAACAAGCAGCAGTATTGGAAAAGATTAAACCCAGGTAGTCACAGCCCATTTATCCCCTACCTCACCATGGTGAAGAAAATGACAATGTATAGGGCTGCACAGTGGGCAGTTGGGTCATTGATGCAGCAAAGGCATCGTTGATGTGGTAATAGAAGAAGGCTCCCACTACAAAGAAAGAAACTAGAGAGCAAAGGGCCTTGTTCTGGTAAGAGAAGGATTTACTAGAGCAGAGAAAGAGCCGGTGAAGAGAAGCAAGAAATGAACTAAAGTGCCTTGATCAGGACAGATCAGGAGAAAGCTGGTCCATGTGAGATGTACTAGGAAGGAGGTTACTCTTGCCATTGTTGATGGGAGTTTTGGCATTTTGGAACCCCTGGAAAGGCTGACCTTTAGGATCAAAATGAAGGCATATAGCTATTCACTAGAGATTTGAATATAGCCTACACTAAGGGAGCAGAATGCTTTAAAAGTGCAATTTGTGCAATTTGCGCAATTTGGAGGGAGTTGCAATAATCAGAGGCAGCCATCTAACAAGGCTGTTGGATGTTTACTTGTCAATAGGCTCATATTCTGTTAGAAGAGGGCAGCAAATAGTGCTTTGCAGCTGATACTGTTGTATTGACTAAGATCTTTCTTTGTGCTACACTTGCTGATTTTTCTGGCCTCTCCTTTCCAAACATTGCCCCTGACTTCCAAAATCAGAACTTTTAAGTGCTTGAGTTCATCAGTCTCTTCCATTTAAAATTACAGAAACTCACACAGAAAACTTGTTTGACATTCACATCTGCAGTGTTAAAAGAATTAACAGCCAAGCTCTTTTCAAGCAATGTCGAGTTCGCTTTTGAGATGCAGGAGTCAGACCTCTAATTTATCTTTCCTTCCCAAGAGTTCCTGTCAGTATTCTGGCACCAAAAAAATGACTTAATTCCTGAAATGGAGCCATTTCACTTTCTTATCTTCAAAAATATTAATAAGAACAAAGCAAGCTGGCAACAGTCATCATCCTTTTACAACAAGTTATGAGGTGTACGCAGAACATTATGAAAACACTGCCTTGTCACATTGCTTTGACATGCCAGACATATTTAAATCTTCCCCACTAAAGCCTAATCTCCTGGCAAACCGTTTCTGCTTAGTCAGTATTACTTCTTCCATCTATTCCTGGATTTTTAAAATATTTATTATTTCTGCCCAGCAGGAGAAGAAAGAAGAATGGATATAGCTTTATCAATGCATGCATTTCAAAGCCATTTTATAACTTTTTTTTTCTATTGATTTGTGGCTCCATAGCTGAGTAGAAGCCTCAGTTCTCACACATTTCCTTTACTGTAGTACTACTATAAAATGAAAATATAGCCTTCACGTTAGAATAAACAAGGTATTCAAAACAAATTCTGCATAATACACAAATAGGAAATGAACACCGTCGTTGCTCTTGACTTGCTGCCAAGCCAGATGCAGAGGAGAAGAAACTAATGAGGTTTCTTTCACCACTGCCAAATTCAATGGTCCCGCTTTGCGACCCACTTCGCCAATTCACAGATAAGTCTCCCCTACTCTACACTAATTCAACATGGTGCAAGAGGCTGCAGTGATCTTTAGGAATGTGAATAATCAGTTCAATTCCAGTGTACTTAAAGCCCTTCCTGAAGCCTGTATTCAGAAAGTATTTCATATTAAATCTATGCCTATCCAATTCCTATGTAAATACTATATTCAAGCCTATGTTTAACTCAGCTCATGCATAAATCCCTTTGAAATTATCTGCGAATTAAGCACTGAGAAATCAGCTACAAGTTAACAGCCGAGTTGAACAATAGTACTAATCATTAACATCAGCTGATTTAAGAAAGAGCAGTATTGCCATGTTTGTCTTGCATTCAACTTGCCTTGGGTATATTCTTTTTTCTAAATTTTTTTCTAGAAACAAAGTATTCTGTGAAGACTGAAAGTAAAGGCAGTTTCCTACAGTTTTTTTATACATCCAATGCAATTAAATGTCTCAGAAAGTATCAGCTCTTTACGTTGTCCTTTTAGGGGAGTTTATAAACTCTTCTCCCAAACAGTTTTCTTGATGCGACCTGTGGTCTGGCTGCCCTTAGTAGCAGCAAACCTCTCAGCCCTCCCTCCTCTCCACAACACCACTTCACATAACTTGCATATTTTGGAGTCCTTAAAACTTCTGCCTCTGGCTGAATTTACCAAGTTCAAAATGAAAAGTGGTGTCTGTCAGAGAGACAAATTCACAGACACTGTTTACACAGGAAATTTTCAAGCAGTTATATTCAGAGACCATGGTTTCTCCATATGATTATTTCCATTTAGATCATTTTATCCAGCTCTATCTGATGAAGGCTGTCATTTCCCCCCTCTCGAAATGTAAAAGGAGCAGAATTAAACATCTCTTTTCTCTATTTCTAATGGCATTGTTCAAGTACCATACAGCAAGTAATGCCATTTATGCTTTAATTTAAAAAAAAAAAAAATTAAAAGCTTTAAATGCTTTTAATTTTTTAAAAAACTTACAATTTGACCAATTCCAAAATTGATCAAAAAATGTATAAAAAAATCCAGTTAAGAAGTTTTTTGCCAGTATTTTTCATCCAATTTCAGCTATTAGTGATAGAATAAAGTGTTTAAGTTCCCATTAGAGACCAAAAGTTTATATGCCAATGCACAGTCTTAATTTTTATTCAAAATTAACATTTGGAATATTACAGCTGGAGATGTCATGACCATTATCTCTATGATATTTCCCTTTTTATTCCAACACTTAGAAGAAATCCATACCTTAAGAATGGTGGCAGGCTCCTGTCTATTACCATAAGTAGAAATACAGACAGGTGCTTGACAACATGGCTAATTTTGCACCCTAGGCCTAGAGACTTCATTGGAAATACATGCTCACTTAAGGAATTACTGTGGACATAATGAAAAAAGGAAACACAAAACATGTCAGCTAACTTCTATTGTAGTATACTTACAAGCAGAAAAACAAATAAAATCTGCAAAAATGTTTAGCTACACTCTATACTGTGATCATTTGAAAAATAAGATAATTCAGAGATAATTTAAAAATAATATTAGAAAGACAGGGAGGCATTTTTGAATGTCTCTTCACATCATTTCCATCTTCTTCAGTTGCTCTCAAGAAGAATTTGTCTTTTCTTTGTTATTCTTTGTTTTTGAATTTTTTTTTGGTTTGTTTTTCCTGATTGGTCCCTTGCCCTAATCTCCTCCAAATGTGATCACTCAAAACAATTTGGAGAATAAAACTGTGGTGAAGGAGCTCTGGTATCTCACTCACAAACCACAGCTTTCTGCTTTCATGGGCTGTGACTGTCCTTCATTGTTCTTCTTTCTTGTCTATGGGACTTTAAGGAATGGGGACAACATTTTACTCCCTGATGTGTACATTGACCAACACAAAAAGATCATAACCAAAATTAACATGTTGAACACTATTAACAGATAGTTCTCTCTGCTCCAGCTTTTCATCTGGAAAATGGTACTTGCAGCATTTCATCACTTCAGAGGAATTTTAAGTACAAACGTATCAGTGCTGCAAGTACTTTAGGCGTTGCAGTGATTATGAGCATTGAAAGTTAATTGCATTGAGTGATTAGTGGCTAACTCAGCAAGTC